AAATCGGCCAAAATCTTGAATTCAGGATCTTGGAAAGCTAAAATCATAAAATCGCCAAAAATCTTGAATTTAGGATTTTGGAAAGCTAAAATCTTAAAATCGGCAAAAACCTTACATTCAGGACAGGTCAAGACGGCCAAAATCTTGAAGTCAGAATTTTAAAAATCTAAAATCTTGAAATCGGCCAAAATCTTGAATTCAGGATTTTGGAAAGCTAAAAACATGAAATCACCCAAAATCTTGAAGTCAGAATTTTAAAAATCTAAAATCTTGAAATCTTCCAAAATCTTGAATTCAGGATTTTGGAAAGCTAAAATCTTGCAATCAGCCAAGATCTTGAATTCAGGATTTTGCAAAGCTAAAATCTTGAAATCGGCCATAATCTTGAATGCAGGACTTAGGAAAGCTAAAATCTTCAAATCGGCTAAAATCTTTAATTCAGGATTTTGGACAGCTAAAATCTTGAAATCGAGCAAAATCTTGAATTCAGGATTTTGGAAAGATAAAATCTTGAAATCGGCCAAAATCTTATATTCAGGATCTTGGAAAGCTAAAATATTAAGACCGGCAAAAATCTTGAATTCAGGATGTTGGACAGGTAAAAGCTTGAAATTTGACAAAATCTTGAATTCATGATTTTGGAAAACTAAAATCTTGAAATCGGCCAAAATCTTGAATTCAGGATTTTGGAAAGCTAAAATATTAAAATCAGCCAAGATTTTGAATTCATTATTTTGCAAAGCTAAAATATTGAAAGGCGCAAAAATCTTGAATTCAGGATTTTAAAAAGCTAAAATGTTGAAAGCGGCCAAAATCTTGAATTCAGGATATTGGAAAGCTAAAATCATGAAATCGACCAAAATGTTGAATTCAGGATTTTAAAAAGCCAAAATCTTGAAATCGGCCAAAATCTTGAATTCAGGATTTTGGAAAGCTAAAATCATGAAATCTTGAAGTCAGGATTTTGAAAATTTAAAATCTTGAAATCTTCCAAAATCTTAAATTCAGGATTTTGGAAAGCTAAAATCTTGCAATCAGCCAAGATCTCGAATTCAGGATTTTGCAAAGCTAAAATCTTGAAATCGGTCAAAATCTTGAATTCAGGGCTTAGGAAAGCTAAAATCTTGCTATCGGCCAAAATCTTGAATTCAGGATTTTGGAAAGCTAAAATATTGAAATCAGCCAAGATTTTGAATTCATTACTTTGCAAAGCTAAAATCTTGAGATGGGCCAAAATCTTGAATTCAGGATATTGGAAAGCTAAAATCATGAAATCGGCCAAAATGTTGAATTCAGAATTTTGGAAAGCTATATCTTAAAATGGGCTAAAATGTCGAATTAGGGATCTTGGAAGGCTAAAACCTTGAAATTGGACAAAATCTGGAATTCAGGATTTTGAAAAGCTAAAACCTTGTAATCAACCAAAATCTTGAAGTCAGGATTTTAAAAATCTAAAATCTTGAAATCGGCCAAAATCTTGAATTCAGGATTTTGGAAAGCTAAAATATTGAAATCAGCCAAGATTTTGAATTCATTACTTTGCAAAGCTAAGATCTTGAAATGGGCAAAAATCTTGAGTTCAGGATTTCAAAAAGCTAAAATCTTTAAAGCGGCCAAAATCTAGAATTCAGGATATTGGAAAGCTAAAATCATGAAATCGGCCAAAATGTTGAATTCAGAATTTTGGAAAGCTATGTCTTAAAATGGGCTAAAATCTCGAATTAGGGATCTTGCAAGGTTAAAACCTTGAAATTGGACAAAATCTGGAATTCAGGATTTTGGAAAGCTAAAACCTTGTAATCAACCAAAATCTTGAAGTCAGGATTTTAAAAATCTAAAATCTTGAAATCGGCCAAAATCTTGAATTCAGGATTTTGGAAAGCTAAAATCTTGAAATTAGCCAAGATCTTGAATTCTGGATTTTGGAAAGCTAAAATTTTGAAATCGGCCAAAATCTTATATTTACGATCTTGGGACGGTAAAATCTTAAAATCGGCCAAAATTGTGAATTCAGGATTTTGGAAAGCTAAAATCATGAAATCAGCCAAAATCTTGAAGTCAGGATTTTAAAAAGCCAAAATCTTGAAATCGGCCAAAATCTTGAATTCAGGATTTTGGAAAGCTAAAATCATAAAATCTTGAGGTCAGGAGTTTAAAAATTTAAAATCTCGAAATCTTCCAAAATCTTAAACTCAGGATTTTGGAAAGCTAAAATCTTGCTATAAGCCAAGATCTTGAATTCAGGATTTTGCAAACCTAAAATCTTGAAATCGGCCAAAATCTTGAATTAAGGACTTAGGAAAGCTAAAATCTTGAAATCGGCCAAAATCTTGAATTCAGGATTTTGGACAGCTAAAATCTTGAAATCGAGCAAAATCTTGAATTCAGGAATTTGGAAAGCTAAAATCTTGAAATCGAGCAAAATCTTGAATTCAGGATTTTGGAAAGCTAAAATCTTGAAATCGGCCAAAATCTTATATTCAGGATCTTGGAATGCTAAAATCTTAAGATCGGCCAAAATCTTGAATTCAGTATGTCGGACAGGTAAAAGCTTGAAATTGGACAAAATCTTGAATTCAGGATTTTGGAAAGCTAATATGTTTGAATCGGGCAAATTATTGAATTCAGGATCTTGGAAAGCTTAAATTATGAAATCGGCCAAAATCTTGACTTCAGGATTTTGGAAAGCTAAAATCTTGAAATCAGTCAAGATCTTGAATTCATGATGTTGCGAAGCTAAAATCTTAAAATCGGCCAAAATCTTGAATTCACGATTCACGACACAGGAAACCTGGAATCTTGAAATCGGCCAAAATCTTGAATTCAGGATGTCGGACAGGTAAAAGCTTGAAATTGGACAAAATCTTGAATTCAGGATTTTGGAAAGCTAATATGTTTGAATCGGGCAAATTATTGAATTCAGGATCTTGGAAAGCTAAAATTATGAAATCAGCCAAAATCTTGAAGTCAGGATTTTTAAAATCTAAAATCTTAAAATCGGCCAAAATCTTGACTTCAGGATTTTGGAAAGCTAAAATCTTGCAATCAGCCAAGATCTTGAATTCAGGATTTTGCAAAGCTAAAATCTTGAAATCGGCCAAAATCTTGAATTCAGGGCTTAGGAAAGCTAAAATCTTGAAATCGGCCAAAATCTTGAATTCAGGATTTTGGAAAGCTAAAATATTGAAATCAGCCAAGATTTTGAATTCATTACTTTGCAAAGCTAAAATCTTGAAATGGGCAAAAATCTTGATTTCAGGATTTTAAAATGCTAAAATCTTTAAAGCGGCCAAAATCTTGAATTCAGGTTATTGGAAAGCTAAAATCATGAAAACGGCCAAAATCTTGAATTGAGGATCTTGGAAAGCTAAAATTTTCAAATCGGCCAAGATCTTGAATTCAGGATGTTGCACAGCTAAAATCTTGAAATCGCACAAAATTTTGAATTCAGGATTTTGGAAAGCTAAGGTCAAGTTCCTTTTTCTGCCTTTCTTTTGCCTTTCTTTTAGAGTATTGAATAGCATGAGCTCTTATTTTAGATTTAATCCAATCCCATATCATTCGATTATCTGTAAATTCTTTCTGTCCTTCCGCTACCCAAAGTGAAATCATCCTGGCTATATCTTCTTCGTAATCTTCATCATCTAACAGAGCGCAGTTCATTTTCCAGTTTCCTGGCCCTTTCAATTCGCCCTCTAGCTTTCCGAGTTCTAAGGAAATTGCATCATGATCTGTTCGTACAGCCGGGATTATTTCGGTCAATTCAACAGAATCGCTCAGGTTGTTAGATATCAACCAGTAATCGAGACGACAAAACACTGGGGGAGATTTTTGACTCCACGTAAAACTTTTTGCCTCTGGATTTTTGGATCTCCAGATATCCACTAAATCTAATTTACTTTTGAAATCTTCGACACAAGAGATAACTGACTTCCTTTTTGTACTTGCTCCGCCTTTTTTGTCGAGTAATGGATCGAGTGGACAATTTAGATCTCCTCCTAGTATGATGTTATCCAAAGAATCCAGATTTTCATTTTGCAAAATTGAAAGTAGGTTGTTGAAAAAATTCACTTGGTCTTTATCTTTGTTCGGCGCATAAACATTAATCAGCACATAGTCTTTATCTTGGATGCAAGCTTTTAAAATAATATAACGCCCCTCGGGGTCTACAATTTTATGAGTAATGCTGCAATCAATACCATTTTTAAACAAAATCGCAACACCTCGCGAATTAGAACTACCTTGGGAAGATATCATCTCAGCACCCCATTCATTTCTCCATTGATTCTCTGTTGCAGCGATCGAGTGCGTCTCTTGTAAAAAAACAAGGTCTGCTTTACGTTTACGACACCAGAGAAAGATGGTTCTTCTTTTGCGGAAATTACTTAAGCCCTTCACATTAAGCGATATTAGTTTAAAAGCACTGAACAACTAATGACACTGTATGTAAATTGTGGGACTGCATAGCTGAAAACAAAAGAGCCGGACGTGTAATTGACCAAACGAAGGCGTGAATGTAGACATACTTTGAAAGCAAGTAAAGGATACTGATTGTGCATAGATAAAATTAGTAAAGAAACACAGTAAGCGAAAATTAGAATAGAAAAACACTCGAAAAAATCTCAAATACAACACTAACAGATAAGAAAAAGAAAATAATACAGGGACACACGTTAACCACCAAAACACTAGCCGAAACATACTCCCTTGAGATACTCAAATGAAGTATTTTAAAAAGGTACTGACCTTTCGACAACTTTAAATATTGTGTTTTTCAGAATCTAATTAGCTTCAATCTGACTTAAAGAAGTTGTTGTTGTATTGCACCAGTAGTACTGTAAATTAGTTGAACAGATCTATGTTCGTTCTTTGATCTACTTAAAATCCTCATGGATATTTGTTACATCATACTTTAGTTCTCCTATGTAGAGATATCTACCAACCACTTTGGCCTCTGAACCCTGCTCCTTTGCCTTGAACATCGCCATTATTAGCTTCCTTCATTCATCTTGTATAGCTTTTGCATAATCCGCGGTTATGTAAGCGTCCTTGAACCTTGTGCTCTCTTTAATTCCCTTCTTCCTGGCAAAAACCTGGTCTCTGTCTTCTCGGCAAACGAAGCGAGCAATGATCGGTCTGTGTTTGTTTTCTTTTCGCTTGCCAATTCGATGCACTGCGTGAAATCGAATTCGTGCAGTGTCCATTTGCAACTCCTTTTGCAAAATGCTGAGAATAACTTGTTTCGGCGAGTGGTTAACACCTTCTTCTTCTGATTCTGGGATATTGTCAAATTTTAGATTCTCGCGCCGAGTATAATCTTCCAGCTCTATAGCTTTGTCTCTTTCCTCCTTTAGCTCACCTTTGGTTTTTGTAAGAAGCGCTCGCAGTTCTTGCATCTCGTCCTCCTGTACCGGTTTAGAGTCTTTCAGAGCTTTGGTTGCCTCTTTCATATCTTCAATGGTCGCCCATATTTCATCTACACTTTTTTCCACGCCTTTAATATTGCTCTTCAACATATCAATTTCTTCCTTCATTTCCTGCCTCAGGCCACATAATTCTTCGTGCAGCTTCGCAAAGTTGCTTTCCATATTCGCCGTTAAGTTTTGAATTAAGTCCCTGAGTGAATTTGTTTCCTCTTCTTCTTCGTGCATCCTTGCTTTTTTTAATTCGGTGTTGGATGAAACAGAACTAGAGCCGGAGTCTCTTTCTCCCCTTTTGGATTTAGTCATAATTCTGATTCACAATAACCGAGGTTTTCCCTTCTTGAAGTTGCTCTTCACACCGCGTGGCCTTCCGCCATGACGCTCGGCCCAGTCTCTCCTTGATATCAGCCAAGATCTTGAATTCAGGATTTTGGAAAGCTAAAATCTGGAAATCGGCCAAAATCTTGAATTCAGGATTTTGGAAAGCTAAAATCTTAAAATCAGCGAAGATCTTGCTTTCAGGATTTAGGAAAGCGAAAATCTTGAAATCGCCCATAATCTTGAATTCTGGATTTTGGAAAGCTAAAATCTTGAAATCGGCCAAAATCTTGAATTCAGGATTTTGGAAAGCTAAAATCTTCAAATCGGCCAAAATCTTGAATTCAGGATTTTGGAACGCTAAAATCTTGAAATCAGCCAAGATCTTGAATTCAGGATTTTTGGAAAGCTAAAATCTTGAAATCAGCCAAGATCTTGAATTCAGGATTCTGGAAAGCTAAAATCTTAAAATCGGCCAAAACCTTGAATTCAGGATTTTGGAAAGCTAAAATCTTGAAATCAGCGAAGATCTTGCTTTCACGATTTAGGAAAGCGAAAATCTTGAAATCGCTTATAATCTTGAATTCAGGATTTTGGAAAGCTAAAATCTTGAAATCAGCCAAAAACTTGCATTCAGGATTTTGGAAAGCTAAAATTTTGAATTGAGGATTTTGGACAGCTAAAATCTTGAAATCGACCAAAAACTTGAATTCAGGATTTTGGAAAGTTAAAATGTTGAAAACGGCCAAAATCTTGAATTGAGGATTTTGGACAGTTCAAATCTTGAAATCGACCAAGATCTTGCTTTCAGGATTTAGGAAAGCTAAAATATTGAAATCCTCCAAAATCTTGAATTCAGGATTTTCGAAAGCTAAAATCTTGAAATTAGCCAAGATCTTGAATTCAGGATTTTGGAAAGCTAAAATCTGGAAATGGGCCAAACTCTTGAATAAGGGATTTTGGAAGGTTAAAATCTTGAAATCAGCCAAGATCTTGATTTCAGGATTTAGGAAAGCTAAAATCTTGAAATCGGCCAAAATCTTGAACTCAGGATTTTGCAAAGCTAAAATCTTGAAATCGGCCAAAATATTGAATTCAGGATCTTAGAAAGCTAAAATTTTCAAATCGGCCAAGATCTTCAATTCAGTATGTTGGACAGGTAAAATCTTGAAATTGGACAAAATCTTGAATTCAGGATTTCTGAATGCTAAAATCTTGAAATCGGCCAAAATATTGAATTCATGATCTTGAAAAGCTAAAACAATGAAATCTGCCAAAATCTTGAAGTCAGGATTTTAAAAATCTAAAAGCTTGAAATCGGCCAAAATCTTGACTTCAGGATTTTGGAAAGCTAAAATCTTGATAACAGCTAAGATGTTGAATTCAGGATTTTGCAAAGCTAAAATCTTGAAATCGGCCAAGATCTTGAATTCTGGATTTAAGAAACCTAAAATCTTGAAATCGGTCAAAATCTTGAATTCAGGATGTTGGAAAGCTAAAATCTTGAAATCAGCCAAGATCTTGAATTCAGGATTTTGGAAAGCTAAGATCTTGAAATCGGCCTGAATCTTGAATTTAGGATCTTGGAAAGCTAAAATCTTGAAATCGGCAAAAATGTTGAATTCAGGATTTTGGAAAGCTAAAATCTTGAAATCAGCCAAGATGTTGAATTCAGGATTTTGGAAAGCTAAAATCTTGAAATCTTCCAAAATCTTGAATTCAGGATTTTGGAAAGCTAAAGACTTGAAATCTTCCAAAATCTTGAATTCAGGATTTTGGAAAGCTAAAATCTTGAAATCCACCAAGATGTTAAATTCAGAATTTTGGAAGGCTAAAATCTTGAAATCAGCCAAGATCTTGAATTCAGGATTTTGGAAAGCTAAAATCTTGAAATCGGCCAAAATCTTGAATGGACGATTTTGGAATGCTAAAATCTTGAAATCAGCGAAGATCTTCCTTTAAGGATTTAGGAAAGCTAAAATCTTGAAATCGGCGAAAATCATGAACTCAGGATTTTGGAAAGCTAAAATCTTGAAATCGGCGAAAATCTTGAATTCAGGATTTAGGACAGCTAAAATCTTGAAATCGATCAAAATCTTGAGTTCAGGATTATGGAAAGCTAAGATCTTGAAATCGGCCAAAATCTTGATTGGACGATTTTGGAATGCTAAAATCTTGAAATCAGCGAAGATCTTGCTTTAAGGATTTAGGAAAGCTAAAATCTTGAAATTGGCGAAAATCATGGACTCAGGATTTTGGAAAGCTAAAATCTTGAAATCGGCCAAAATCTTGAGTCCAGGATTTTAGAAAGCTAAAATCTTGAAATGGATCAAAATCTTGAATTTAGGATTTTGGAAAGCTAAAATCTTGAAATCGGCCAAAATCTTGAATTCAGGATTTTGGAAAGCTAAAATATTGAAATCGACCAAAATCTTGAATTCAGGATTTTGGAAAGCTAAAATCTTGAAATCGGCCAACCAAAATCTTGAATTCAGGATTTTGGAATCCTAAAATCTTGAAATCGGCCAGAATCTTGAAATCAGGATTGTGGATAGCTAAAATCTTGAAATCGGCCAAGATCTTGAATTTAGGATTTTGGAAAGCTAAAATCATGAAATCGGCCAAAATCTTGAATTCAGGATTGTGGGAAGCTAAAATCTTGAAATCGGCCAAGATCTTGAACTCAGGATTTTGAAAAGCTAACATCCGTAAATCGGCAAAAATCTTGAATTCAGGATTTTGGAAAGCTAAAATCTTGAAATCGGCCAAAATCTTGAATTCAGGATTTTGGAAAGCTAAAATCTTGAAATCGGCCAAAATCTTGAATTCACGATTTTGGAAAGCTAAAATCTTGAAATCGGCCAAAATCTTGAATTCAGGATTGTGGAAAGCTAAAATCTTGAAATCGGTCAAAATCTTGAATTCAGGATTGTGGATAGCTAAAATCTTGAAATCGGCCAAGATCTTGAATTCAGGATTTTGGAAAGCTAAAATCCGTAAATCGGCCAAAATCTTGAATTCAGGATTTTGGAAAGCTAAAATCTTGAAATCGGCCAAAATCTTGAATTCAGGATTTTGGAAAGCTAAAATCTTGAAATCGGCCAAAATCTTGAATTCAGGATTTTGGAATGCTAAAATCTTAAAATCGGCCAGAATTTTGAAATCAGGATTGTGGATAGATAAAATCCTGAAATAGGCCAAGATCTTGAATTCAAGATTTTGGAAAGCTAAAATCATGAAATCGGCCAAAATCTTGAATTCATTATTGTGGAAAGCTAAAATCTTGAAATCGGCCAAGATCTTGAACTCAGGATTTTGGAAAGCTAACATCCGTAAATCGGCCAAAATCTTGAATTCAGGATTTTGGAAAGCTAAAATCTAGAAATCGGCCAAACTCTTGAATTCAGGATTTTTTAAAGCTAAAATCTTGAAATCGGCCAAAATCTTGAATTCAGGATCTTGGAAAGCTAAAATCTTGAAATCGGCCAAAATCTTGAATTCAGGATTGTGGAAAGCTAAAATCTTGTAATCGGTCAAAATCTTGAATTCAGGATTGTGGAAAGCTAAAATCTTGAAATCGGCCAAGATCTTGAATTCAGGATTTCGGAAAGCTAAAATCCGTAAATCGGCGAAAATGTTGAATTCAGGATTTTGGAAAGCTAAAGTCTTGAAATCGTCCAAAATCTTGAATTCAGGATTTTGGAAAGCTAAAATCCGTATATCGGCCAAAATCTTGAATTCAGGATTTTAGAAAGCTAAAATCTTGAAATCCACCAAAGTCTTGAAGTCAGGATTTTGGAAAGCTAAAATCTTGAAATCGGCCAGAATCTTGAAATCAGGATTTTGGAAAGCTAAAATCTTGAAATCCGCCAAAATCTTGAATTCAGGATTTTGGAAAGCTAACATCCTTAAATCGGCCAAAATCTTAAATTCAGGATTTTGGAAAGTTAAAATCTTGAAATCGCCCAAAATCTTGAATTCAGGATTTTGGAAAGCTAAACTCTTGAAATCGGCCAAAATCTTGAATTCAGGATTGTGGAAAGCTAAAATCTTGAAATCGGTCAAAATCTTGAATTCAGGATTGTGGAAAGCTAAAATCTTGAATTCGGCCAAGATCTTGAATTAAGGATTTTGGAAAGCTAAAATCATGAAATCGGCCAAAATCTTGAATTCAGGATTGTGGAAAGCTAAAATCTTGAAATCGGCCAAGATCTTGAACTCAGGATTTTGGAAAGCTAAAATCCGTAAATCGGCCAAAATCTTAAATTCAGGATTTTGGAAAGCTAAAATCTTGAAATCGGCCAAAATCTTGAATTCAGGATTTTGGAAAGCTAAAATCTTGAAATCGGCCAAAATCTTGAATTCAGGATTGTGGAAAGCTAAAATCTTGAAATCGGTCAAAATCTTGAATTCAGGATTGTGGAAAGCTAAAATCTTGAAATCGGCCAAGATCTTGAATTCAGGATTTCGGAAAGCTAAAATCCGTAAATCGGCCAAAATCTTGAATTCAGGATTTTGGAAAGCTAAAATCTTGAAATCGGCCAAAATCTTGAATTCAGGATTTTGGAAAGCTAAAATCTTGAAATCGGCCAGAATCTTGAATTCAGGATTGTGGAAAGCTAAAATCTTGAAATCGGCCAAGATCTTGAATTCAGGATTTTGGAAAGCTAAAATCCGTAAATCGGCCAAAATCTTGAATTCAGGATTTTGGAAAGCTAAAATCTTGAAATCGGCCAAAATCTTGAATTCAGGATTTTGGAAAGCTAAAATCTTGAAATCGGCCAAAATCTTGA